CATATTAGTTACATGCAGAAAAAGGTTGCGGTGAGCGTTGAATACTTCAAAAAAAAATTTTGGAATATAAATCTGTTCCAAAAATTTAACATCTTGACAATATTACTTCTTGCAGTTAAAAAATTAATGTTAAAATAGTGACATTAACTGTTAATAATTTTTAACTATGATTTTAAACTTTTCAGGATGAACTTACATTGAAAAAACTTTCGGGTGTCTAACGAATTAATATTTGCAGGGAAAATTTGTACATTAACCCACTAAGTTTTTCGTTACAAATGGAAAAGAAAAATATACGTTACTTGTCTTTTTTTTTTTTTAATTACATATAGGTATTGTTCTATTAGAGGTAATCATATTCGAGTCATTGCTAAGTACTAAATATGGGTACCTCTCCCAATAGAATTCAAACTCATTTGTTGAATATTACCTCTGATTTGTAATATATAAGCTACTTAGAAATTCAATTCAGTTCTAAGTATAAAACTACAATCTATGTTGTTTTATATTTTTATCCTATTTTTTTTAAAGTAATCTGTATAGTGATTGCATATGTTAAAGGTTCCTTAAAAAAGATATTCCCAATACACATAATTAACAAGGATACTTTAAGAGGTATAGCTATTTATTTCAAATAATTAATTGAATTAATTTTCTTAATATTTATAAATTAAGTATCTAACTCTTATATTAAGGATTGGGAGTTATATATCCTTTCAACCTTTACCCTATGTTTGGTATGAAGTAAATGGAGGAAAGGGTTGGGAAGAAAAAATTTTAATTAACTCTAGTTTATTAAATTGTTTTTTTCTCTCCCCTCTTTCCTCCATTTCACTCATAACAAACAGTTTTTGTTATTGGGCTGAAGAAAAAACTTCTGATCTAACAACACCCAGAGGTAAGGCTACATGAGCTGGGCCCATTTGAATAGATCCAATTGAGAAGGGATCCCATTCAATCATGTTGGGCCTACACCAAACTTTTGTTGAAGTGGATCATTATACTCTTACTAATTTGCACATAAATTAAAACAATTGGTAATGAAAAAAGACTATGTTAAGGGAGCTAAAACCCATTTTGATAATTTGTATCTCTCAAAAGGATTAGTTTCTAACTATCAACTAAAAAAGATCGTCTGGTTTCTTAAAAAAATTTTAACAAAAAAACAATTAGTTAAATCAATTATGTTGACAAATGTATCGCCTTTTTAAAATAAGTGCTTTAATTAGCTTTGTATTTAGAATTGTAAGAAATAATTAATTATCTTGCCGTTTTTCAATGACAAGGAAATTTTGCATTAAATAAACAAGTCACAATAAACATAATTAATTATCTCACCCTCAAAAGAAGAAGAATATTTTTGTCAAAAAAAAAAAAAAAACAAGAAGAAGAATGTGGAAAGAACCAAATAATTAAAAAAAAAAAAGAAAAAGAACCCTGGGGTGAGGGGGAGGGTTGTGCTGTGTGAGGCTGGAACCTTGTACAAAAATCAAGATACACCACAAATAAGTTTATTAAATCATCCATATAAAATGATAAAATGTCGGGGAAATTGCAAATAAAGACCCCCAATATATAAAATGGCAATCAGGGACCCTGAATTTGAGAAATTGCTCACAAGGACCCGGTCTCAATTTACAATTATGAAATCATGGCCAAATTACCAAAATACTCCTTTTTAATTTTTTTTTTATAAAAAAGAACACCACTGCCTCGCCGGAATCCGGCCGCCGGCGCCGGAGCTCCGCCACCCCGGCTGCCAGCTGCTGGAGCTCCGATGCCGGCGGCCTTCCTTTGTTTTTTTTTTGAAACTGTTTTTTTTTTAAATTGGGGGGAAGTGAGGTTAGGGGGATTTGATCCCCCAACCTAATGCTTCCCAAAATTAAGAATGACCATCGAGCCAACAAATTTTTGCTAACATTATGATACAAAAAAAAAAAGTTAACTCATTTACTCTTGTTCCAAGTGATAACAATAATACATCTAGAAATAACAAGTTCTGATTGTAAAATAACACGTCTGGAATGAAAATTTAACAATATGTTTTTTCTATAACAACAAATTTTGTTGCAGGTGATAACAATACATTTGAAAATAACAAGTTCTGATTATAAAATAACAAGTCTGGGATTAAAATTTAACAACACGTTTTTTTTATAACAACACACTCTATTTCAAGTGATAACAACAATACATTTAGAAATAACAAGTTCTTATTATAAAATAACAAGTTCTGATTATAAAATAACTAGTTTGGAATTAAATTTAACAGCACCCTTTTTTTTATATAACAACACATTTTATTCCAAGTGATAACAACAATACATTTGAAAATAACAAGTTTTGATTATAAAATAAGAAATCTAGAATTAAAATTTAACAACACGTTTTTTATAACAATTAATTATTTTATACTTTTGAAAAATAAATTATTTATAACTTATAAAAAGTATTTTTAATCTATTTAATTTGCTAAAAAAATAATTTTTATCTCCAATTTATAATTAGAACTTGAAGTGTAATTTATTATAGATTAAAAATACTTTTTTATTGTTCAAATTTATAAATAAAATTTAGGGAAAATGACAACACACTTTTTTAATTTTTTTTTTAAAATTTTTAACCTATATATCTATACAACTCATTATAAATCAAACTACTTCTTATAAATTATAAATAGTACAATTTATTGTAGATTAAAAATACTTTTTGATTGCTTAAATTTATAAATGAAATTTATCTCTAATTTATAATTAAAAATACTATTTTATTCTTTAAATATAAAAACTATTTTTAATATTTAAAGAATGAAATAATAAATTATACTATATTATTTAAATACTTAATAATAAATTTTAATATTTAAAGAATTAAATAATATAAAAATTTATACTATGATTTATAGATTAAAAATACTTAATTATAAATGCTTTATAATTTATAAGGAGTAGTTTGATTTATGATGAGTTGTATAGATATATAGATTAAAAAGTATTTTTTAGAAAAAATAAATATATTAAAAATATTTTTATAAGTTATAAATAATTTATTTTCCAAAATCATAATATAAATAATTTTCTAAAAAAACGTGTTGTTAAATTTTAATTCCAGACTGTTATTTTATAATCAGAACTTGTTATTTCCAAATGTATTGTTGTTATCACCTGAAACAGAGTGTGTTGTTATTAAAAAAAACATGTTGTTAAATTTTAATTCCAGACTTGTTATTTTATAATAATAACTTGTTATTTCCAAATGTATTGTTGTTATCACCTGAAACAGAGTGTGTTGTTATAAAAAAAACGTGTTGTTAAATTTTAATCCCAAACTTGTTATTTTATAATCAGAACTTGTTATTTTCAAATGTATTGTTGTTATCACCTGCAACAAAATTTGTTGTTATAAAAAAAACATATTGTTAAATTTTCATTCCAGACGTGTTATTTTACAATCAGAACTTGTTATTTTCTCTAAATTTTATTTATAAATTTGAACAATAAAAAAGTATTTTTAATCTATAATAAATTACACTTCAAGTTCTGATTATAAATTGGAGATAAAAATTATTTTTTTAGCAAATTAAATAGATTAAAAATACTTTTTATAAGTTATAAATAATTTATTTTTCAAAAGTATAAAATAATTAATTGTTATAAAAAAACGTGTTGTTAAATTTTAATTCTAGATTTCTTATTTTATAATCAGAACTTGTTATTTTCAAATGTATTGTTGTTATCACTTGGAATAAAATGTGTTGTTATATAAAAAAAAGGGTGCTGTTAAATTTTAATTCCAAACTAGTTATTTTATAATCAGAACTTGTTATTTTATAATAAGAACTTATTATTTCCAAATGTATTGTTGTTATCACTTGAAACAGAGTGTGTTGTTATAAAAAAAACGTGTTGTTAAATTTTAATCTCAGACTTGTTATTTTATAATCAGAACTTGTTATTTTCAAATGTATTGTTGTTATCACCTGCAACAAAATTTGTTGTTATAAAAAAAACATATTGTTAAATTTTCATTCCAGACGTGTTATTTTACAATCAGAACTTGTTATTTCTAAATGTATTATTGTTATCACCTGGAACAAGAGTAAATGAGTTAACTTTTTTTTTTTGTATCATAATGTTAGCAAAAATTTGTTGGCTCGATGGTCATTCTTAATTTTGGGAAGCATTAGGTTGGGGGATCAAATCCCCAACCTCACTTCCCCCAATTTTTTAAAAACAAAAAACAGTTTAAACAAAAAAACAAAGGAAAGCCGCCGGCAATGGCCGGCATCCGGCCGCCGGCATCGAAGCTCCGACGGCCAGATTCTGGCGAGGTAGTGGTGTTCTTTTTTAAAAAAAAAATTAAAGAGGGGTATTTTAGTAATTTGGCCATGATTTTATAATTGCAAATTGGAACCGGCTCCTTGTGAACAATTTCTCAAATTCAGTGATTGCCATTTTATATATTGGGGGGTCTTTATTTGCAATTTCCTCTAAAATTTCCCAGTGGGGATAAATTTTTTTTTTTTAAAGCAAAAACAATTATCTTCGTTGAGAATAGAAGAGCAGCTTGTTGCCATAGATAGATATGCCAGCCTGAGGATTAAGTGTGAAAACATATTTTCCCCAATGCTTCACTCTATATTTATTGTGAATAAAACACATAGTTATTTGCAATAGAGGATAATATTCATATTAAAAAACCAAATTCTTTTCGTTTTTCTTTATATTAATTATTAAGCAATCTCACTGTATTATTAGTTTTTTTTTTTGTCATTGTATTAATTATTAGTCTACTCATTCTGATCCCCATCACTCATTTAAGAGTATTTTTAAAAATTATTATTTTAGATTTATTTAAACAAAGTTTTAGTAAGATTTTGCCGTCACAAAACACCCATTACAAAATAAACAAACTGACAGTATTATATTTATCACCAAACTTATTTGCAGAAATTGACCAAAAAAAGAAAAAGAAGAAGTACCCTTCTTCTTCTTCGTCAGCTAATAACCCTTCCTCGCATCGTGTCCTTTCCCCCCTTGTCTCCTCAGTTCCACAACATCCTCATCCAGGGCCTCGCCCTTCTTCCACCCACCACCGCCGCCTTTATAGTCGTCGTCGTCACTCTCATCCTTCCCAACCACCGTCTCCTTAATCTTCTGTGTGGTGTCCTTCGCCGCCCCCCACGCTCCTTGCGCCGTTTCTTTCGCCTTCTCTCCCACATACTTCATAGCGTCCGCCGTCTTCTCCGTCGCCGACTTAGCCGTATCCGCTGTCTTCTCCGCCGCTCCTGAGACATTCTCCTTCGTTCTTTCTTTCATATACCCGGCTGTATCCGCCGCCTTATGAGCCCCTTCCTTCGTCTTATCAGCCACAGTATCTGCCGCGTCCTTCGCAGTGTCCTTTGCGTCGTAAGCGTAGTCTCTTGCTCTCTCTGAAGCTTTGTTTGTTCCTTCTCTGACTCTATCGGCCATGGTTTCTGCAGCATCCTCGGCATCTTCTTTAGTTTCATGAGCGTACTGTTTGGTTCTCTCAGCCATGTCCTTCGTCTTCTCCTTAGCTTCATGTGCGTACTCTTTACCTCTCTCTTTTGCTTCTTCTGCTCCATCTCTTACCCTGTCACCCATGTCTCTGTCATCTTCTTCACGTCTCGCATTTGCAGGATCGTATGACCAAACTCTTGCATCCGCTCCTTCTGCTGTGTTTCTGAACTGAAAATCAAGACCAAAACCAGTGTCAAAAATCTTAAATAGACTATATTGAACTGTTCTTGACAGAAATGAGTGTGAAGAAGAAGAAGAAGAGGCATATACGTGTGAATAGTTATTGGAAGAAGGAGAGGCAAAGGCGACTCTGGAGGGTTTGTGGGAAGATCTGAGGAAGACTGCCTGAGGAAAGGACTTTGAGAAACGGAAGAGAGCAGTTCTTGTGATGAACATGGCTGCCATATTTTCTGAGAGTTGTTTGTTTGTTTGATTTGTGTGTATTAACTTCTTCTTCTTCACGAGCTAAAGATAATATGGGAAGATGCTATGAAGATTGAATCGTTTTATCATCATCGCTTTTCGATGCAGCATGTTAAAGAGGAAGGTGGCGCACCACGTGATCGACACGTTGTGCACTGTTTGCCACGTGTACTGAAAGGTGCCACGTCTTCCACCTATTTTTCTGGAAACATTTTTGCTTGTTATAGTGAGATTTAACTTTTGTTTCCGCCCATCGGACCAATGAACCGAATTATTTGCGGGTTGGGCTTAGAAGAAAAATATTTTGGTGATGAGTTAGATATTTTTAATTAATTTTTAACTATTCTACGGAGCTATAGTTTTTTAAAAGTAATTTTACAAAAATCAAGTTAAACATGTGAGATGAGTTGTCTTTTGATTTATGTAAAAACCTATTTTTTTTGGTGTGCTTTTCATTTCACTCCTATTAAAAAAAAATAACTCGCTTTACATTAAATCTGTTTCAAATTATTTTTTTGATAAAATCATTTCTTCATAGGATTTTTTTTTTTAAAAAAATTTAGTTCCTGGCAAGTGAATTATTATAAATAATATTTTTCTGCATCTACTCCAAACAGTATACTAATGGATATCATTTATAGTTTGCGTATTACGTTAAATGTCGTTAATGTCATTATTTTATATTCTAAGGATAAAACCTATCAACTTAAATGCAAGGATAAACAACCAGACTAACTATGTTAACTTATAAATATAAGTAAAAACTGAAAGATATAAAAAATGATTTTTAATAAAATACTACAATGAAATTAATAACACAAAAAAGGGAACACAAATAAATAGTAAAAATATAATCTAAATATCTGGCAGAAAAACTATAATTTAAATCACCTTCTTTAAAATCACTTTTATTTAATTTTCCCCCCTTGGAAGTTAGAATCGCCATTTGCTCTTTTAATTTTTTTTATTCTAAACACTAATTTTTTTTATCGAACGCAATTCTAGACGTTAAATGCCGGCACATTCTTTTATTACTGAGGTTTACTTTTTTCTTTTTAACCAGAATTACTGAGCCCTACGAAACAGCACCGTTCGATTTTTTGGCCAGAGGAAAAAATATCTAAAATCAGAAGCAAATCGAAGGAAAAAATGGGACGAAGCAATGGACTCAACTGTTTGAAGTTCAGGCTGGCGCAAAAAAAAAAAAAAAGATGTTTGAAATTGAGGAAAAGGACTCTTTTTAGAGAGAGAGAGAGTCAGGGTTATCTCTAAAACTTTACAGAGAATATATTTATTGGGCTGGTTTTTGGCCCACTTTCTTCATACTTCATATTTAAGCCCATTATGATTTTTTAATAGAGCAAAACGAATTGTTTCAACACAGGATTATTGACGCGTTAATATGAGAATTAACGCCTGAGAATTTTCATAGAGGCCACTTCTAAATTGAAAACTTGAAATGTGTCAAGTTCTTCCTAAAAGCATTTTGAAAACCAAGGTTTCAGGTTTCGAAATGCTTTTGAATTTCATACAATTTCTTATGTTTTGCACAACTTAGAACTAACTCGTTAATGTCTAATTTTTTATTGAAATTTTTTTTGCAATGAAGACAATTGAGGCCATCGATATGTGCGTGCTTGTGTATTTGTTCAAATTCATTATTAAATTATTTATTTTATTCACTGTAAGGCTAATTTCTGGTTCAACAAGTGTAATAATCACTGCCAACTGTGTTTGTTTCATTCCTTCTCTTTCTTGGTCTTGGTCTTTCTGTTTAATTTGAAAATATTTGTATTTTTGTTCAACACAAATACTTCTACCATCCTAGCGTCTTCAACGTGTTTTATATAAGCTAAGAAAAATTTTAAATTGCATTAATTCTTTCTTAAAGTATAATAACATTTTAACTTTACCCTTATTATATATACCTTTGAAAAAATATTTATCTAAACTATAGTAAATGAATGATAAAATAATACATTCCTACTAAAAATTTAATAAAATGACTTATAAATATGACCTAGAAAAATAGTGGAAAAAATATAATAAAATACCCTAGAAATTGCTAAAGGACAAATCAATGTGGGTGAATTTTAAAATTCTAATTTAGACCCTTTTTATCATTTTAGAATTTTCAAATCTTATAAAATTACACAAGTACCCTTTATTAATTTTTTTAAAAAATATTGCCACCTTAGCACTTCCGACCGTTAGAGCTTCGGCGTTGGTGACGCTGCTTGTGGCCAACCGTAGGAGCTCTGGCGACATGTCACCATAACTTCGATAACTATTCTTTCTTATGTGTTGACTAATATTTTTTAGTTATTGACTACATTTGTTTTTAAAACTCTGATGACCACTCTTGTTTAGCTACTGACTACTCTAGTATTATGATTGACTACTTTTATTTTTAAAATTTTAGTGACTACTTTTGTTGAGCTATTGACTATTATAATTTTGCTATTAACTACTTTTGTTTTAAAAATTCAAAAAATACATTGAGTGTTGTTGGAAATCTAGTAACTGCTCGTTATTTAGTTATTTACTATTTTTGTGTAGTTAATAGCTATATAAAAGTAGTCATTGAAACTTTGAAAACAAAAATAGTCAATAGTTAAATTAGAGTAGTTAATAGTTATATGAAAGTAGTCACTAAGAATAAGGACAGTGTTGTTATTTCATAATATTTTAAAATTTTAAAATAGTACAAGAGGTCTGATATGAGATTTTACAATTCACCTATCTTAATTTGTCCTTTAACATTTTTGAAGGTATTTTAGTATTTTTTTTCAAAAATATTTTCTCTCTCCTTTATAAATAACATCAGTGGAGTAGCATAGAAGCAATTATAACCGGATCTGAGAACGGATCCCAATAATCCTCTTAACACCTGTCACTTTCTTTTCCTTCAGTTAAGTATTCCTGCAAGTTTTACCTCTTCTCTTTCTAAATTCATATACAGTGTAAGAACACTTAGCTTATTGATAACTTTCTTCAAATTGCGCTTCTTTCTTTGTCAATCTCAAAATCATCGCTTAATGAATCAAAATGTCGATCATCCTCAGATTGTTCATCACTTGGGATCTGATGAACAATTAAACTGTTCGACATCTTGTTTCTTAACATATGTAGAAGGCTCACAAGTCCCACATCGGAATACATTTCTGCAAGTGAATGAATATCCCTTTTCTTATCCTGTGTGTTCTTTTCCCATGGGTCCAAGCAATAATGTTGACTATGGAATGCCAGTTACATGGGAATCACCTCAGAGCGAAAGGAAAATGAAAGGAGCAATGATGAGCAAAATTGCTAGAAACATAAGAAAACAGGCCAGACAGAGAACTAGAAGCTCAACTTCTAGGGTTTCTTCTTCAATCTTGGAACAGGCAAGCAAGGTTGATTTACTTAAAAGCATGGAGGAGATTGTTCATAAGAATGAAATTCATAGTAGAATCCCCAATATTCTTCACTCTCTTGATGGGAAGGTGGGATTCATTTAGAGCTTGAAATCGGGTCACTTTTAACCAACAGGAAAAAAAATCTTTATTTTTCTAGGAATTATTATATTGGATTTTTGACCCCTTTTTAATGATTCATTGTTTGAGAACAGAGACTCAAAAAATTGTTGACGAAGAAGTTGAAAACCAGTGATGTTGGCTTTGTGGGTCGCATTGTCCTTCCAAAGGTAAGATATTCTTCACAGTGATTATATACGCTACCCAAGAATTGTTCAATTCTGCAATAAAATAAATAAGAGAATTTCTTTGGAAAGAACTAATATTTGTTATAATAACACAATAGAAGGAAGCTGAGAAGAACCTTCCGGCTCTTTCCAACAAGGAAGGCATTGAAGTATTACTTAAGGATGTATGCACGGACTGTCAATGGAGAATGAAATACAAGTGAGAAAAGCGATCCTAAAATATTCTAAATATTATTGATCTTTTTGTGCTCTATATTTATTCTTATTCCTCTTCAAAGATTCTTATCACAAATCATTAATGACATAGGTACTGGTGCAATAATAAAAGTAGAATGTATGTTCTTGAACATACAGGTAAAATTCACTCATCATGTATGATGATTTAATTTGTTATTCATTGTGAAGCTCTAGAATTTCGGATGTTAAAATTTGTTTTTCATGTAACAGGAAAATTCGTGAAGCATTATCAATTGCAAATTGGAGATTCTATAACACTTTTTGAGGATGAATTCAAAAATCTTGTGAGTCTTCCTTCTAACTCAAATTCCTATCTAGTTACTAAATTTTCAATGAGCATCTCATTGAGATGGATTCCATTGAGCGCAATATTATTTGGCGGTTTCACGTTGCTTGTTTTGATACATTACTATAATTAAGGGGCCGTTTGGTTCAATCCCTTGCATTAGGATTACTGATAATCCTGGTGGATTTACCGATTTTATGGGATTTTGTGGGTCCCATGCACATGGGTTTAATGAGACTCTATTCTTAATCCACGTAAAACAAGACAAATAGTTAAATCTACAGCTGTTTCTTATCTTTTCATTATCTGCTGATTTCAAGTAAGAAATTGGAAAAAAAAAAAAAACTACATAAGAGTATATGAATTGGTTTCTTTTCCACTTTGCATAGTTCCAATAGGATTAGAAATAGCCGTATATACCTCTCTCTTTATCCTCTTAAAATCAATAATACTTTTCCTTCTGGTTTTAAATGTGAAAATTAAATAATTAATTTACAAATATTATAAAAATTAGTTAAATTAGTTATCTGTAACAAATATATATTTGTTGAATTGGAATATTTATTTCTTAATTAGTCACCTTCTGCACCATTTTTATTCGAGGAATCATCAGTATGTGCTCCCAAAAAAGGAGCAAGCACCAGAAGTTTCTGACTATAAGCAGCTCTTATCAAACAAGGAGGAAGAAAAACATGACAACTCAAACAACAATAACTACATTGAAATGCCATACCAACAAAAGAAAGACGATGATGAAGAGGAAACATGTTTGGGAGAGTTAATCGATGAGCTATTCAACCAAAAGGACGAAGAATCTTCAAACAAGCTCTCAACCATGTACAACGTCGAAGGCTCATCATCAAATACTGAAGAAGTTCTGTACAATGGTAATGCATCACAAGAGGTATCACCCAATGGAACAGTGGCCCCCACATTATCCTCTTCCTTCCAGGATGACTTGGACGATTTCTTTGAAGGACTTGACATGTCACAATTCGGGTGTAATGACTTTGTTCTAGATGAGCAACAATTTGTAGATGCATGAAATGGACATAGTTATGTACTTGAAGCCCTTCTTCATTTGGTCTTTTCGTTGTCACCAGAGAAAATTTTGTAAAATTACTATGCTCATTTCATGCTGGAAACATTAATTGGATACATGTCAAGTCATGCGTGAGAACCTCATTTTGTCCAATTTTTTTAATAGTTTTCTTTCAAAAGAACTTTCAAAATCATTTCCTTTTTAAGTTCTAGTAATTTGATGAGTAATATACATTTATTTCAGGTAGAAAAATAAATATATTTGAACGAAAAGAAGGGGAAAAATAATTTCTCTGTCATTTAAATTTTCTCTCTTGCATTGATTTGAGCTAAAATTTAGGATGGAGCTTTCTCGTACCTTTGGGGACATTGGTTTTAAGTTGAATCTCATTTAGATTGCATATAAATTAGTTTCTACACACACACACACACACAAAGCTAGATGTAATATATTATGAACCATTTACCTAAAATCTATCGTGTGAAGAGGTCGTGAGCGTCGACATTGTAATGTATGTATGTATTTATGTGTTCTTATTTTAAACCATTTTTATTAGTTTTCATGTTCAAATTTTCAGATCACGTATGCGCAGTACCTAGTACTTTTCAATTTCAATTTCATTTTAACAATAACTGCTCAATCCCTCTTCTTTTATAAAATTTTTCTGGTCCAAACAGGACAATCTTGTCTACGTTTTAATGAAAATAGTTTTATGAAAACATTTTTATGATTTTGTCATATCATGATAAATTAATTTTTGTAAAATAAAATTTGAAAAGAAATGGTTGTATAATAAGAACAATTAAATTTGCCTCCACCAACAAAAAGACTATTGGTAACGCATTTGACCCAAGGATAAGAAAAAGGTTGTAGGCAAATGTGGGTAGAGAATAAGAGAGCAAGAAAGCAAAAAACACCAACGCTTGTTATGTAAAATTCTGACAAAAGCATAACATATCCCAACGCTTTATATAATAATACGTTGCCAAAATTTACGCCAGCCCTTTTTATCATAAAGTGTTGACACAGTTCAAAATATAAATAATAGTTTTTCTAAACCAAATGTAAATGAAAAAAAAAACAATAAAATTGGACTAACCTAATTTATATATGCAATAGTATTTTCTCTCATGAGACAAGGTTAAGGCAAACATACATAAACTAACACAGCTAGCATCCCAATTAGACCCAAATCTAGATCAGTCGAAAGTACTAAATACCAATTGATTTGCCACCAGACAGAAACATCATCAGAAGTTTCGCTTTTGGTGATTCTAAACCCAACATTTCATTCTAAGGACTAAAATCTATTCGAGTCAAATCCAGATTAGTCTAAGGTACAAAATACTAAATGATTTGCCACCAAATAGAAAGTTACTATTATCAGAAGTTTGGCTTTTGGTGATTCTAAACCCAACATCTAATTTTAAGGACTCAAATCTAGATTAGTCAGCAGTAGCAAATGCTAAATATGATTTGTCACCAAACAAGTTGGGGCTCATAACGCCATTATCAGAAGCTTGGCTTTTGGTGATTTCAAAGCCAAACATTAACTAGCTGAGGGCAAAAAAACCCTTATGAGGCCTTTTTGAGTAACCTTGACCCTACATGTAGGGCATTTGCCTTGTGCTTTTATAGCGGCCTTAATGCAGCTCCTACAGAATATATGACCACACTTTGTTGAAACTTCTTCCTCAAATGGGTCCATGCATATGGGACAGGTAAAGATAGGCTCCTTTTCAGGTTTTTGCTCCTACAAAATGTAATAGAGTTCTACAGTTAACAAAACTTATATTTGGCTTAGTGTCTTGAAAACAAAAAAAATGACTTAAAAGGTAGTTCTTCTGTCACTACAAAGAAAATGCAACCACATTGTGAAGTTGAGATGAACTGCACAGAGAATGACACTGTTTAATTATAGCCAAGGCATCAATAACATTAATGACTATAATAGATAATATATACTACTTCTGGTTCTTAATATAAGAGCTATTTAGAGATTTGAATTTGATTTTAAATATAAGACATCAATCCACTTTGTATCTCCAATTTATAATTTATTCTCTAAAGTATACCTGTTGATTACACATATTAAAGATGTTTTCATCCAAGGGTAGTCGTGATTAAGAGGATATTTTGGGAGAAATTAACTCATATTTATTATAAATAACAAATTTAACTATTTTTCTTAATCTACCTAAATTGCTTAAGTAGCTTTTATATTACGGACCAGGAATAATACACATATAGCTTGTTTATTCTGTAATTGAAAAGGAATGATTTAGTTTCCTCTCATTACCCACTCCAATGATTTCTTTACATTCAAAAGGGCTTTGTGTCACCAAATACAATTATCAAGCAGACATAGCAAACTGCTAAGAGAAGAGAGAATTTGAATTGCAAGACTAAACACCTAAAACATCAAGAGTTCAAGCTCAAAACTCTCATATGGGTAATAAATAGAAGGGACTCAACAAGCATCTCTATCGGAGGGATCTCTAGCACAATGAAGATAGCACAATGAAGATCTCATGAAGTAGTATTTCCTTGGGAATACTAAGTTGCGTATTACAATATATAAATCTCACACCCAATAATTAAAAGACAAATTAAGGATAGATAAGCTAAGAGTGAGTTCTATCAAATTTGATTTAAATTACTTTAATGCAATGGACAATCCTCAACTAAAAAGAAAAGAGGAAGATTGTACAATACACAAAAAGTGAAGAAAGTAGAAATGAAAAAAGTGTTAAACATTGCAATGAAAAAAGAAAGAGATCTAGAAGGCATTGGATCTGAGGCACTTGAGTCAGTATGGCCTCCTGAGTGATAAACAATCATTAAGCATAGTTAATACAAAAGAGTACTTTTTTTTGGCCAAATCACTTCAATTGATACATGCAAGAAATAAGCCAGTTCCACTGTATTTTGTCCAACTTCTTTGGGAGTCAAATTCTCATCAGTACGAGTATAGGAAATAACACTAATATTGATTTCCACAATAGAAAGGACATCATGAGTATAAATGCATCTTTAAATTATATTTATGATGGGCTAAATGTCTTCCATAAGGAAACATGGAAAGATACAATGATTTTTTTTTTGGTGTTGGCACCCGGTATCCTACACTAGGCCATCTTTCAGGCACAACAACAGGTTCAGACTAATTCAGATCGAGGCATGACAAGAACCATTAAAGTTGACGCCCCTGGTCCCTAAGATGTTGCATTCCCAAGTGTTGAACTCAAGACCCTTGATTAAGCTAAAACAGTTCCAGCTAGCTGATCTAATCTTCTTGTTTTAATGATTTTTCCTTTTCATGAAGTAAATTAAACTTAATTGTTTCTATTGTGCGTAGTGGTGAAAATGAAGAACCACTAAGGGCCTAGTGTAAAGGAAAAACACATTTATATTGAAGGGGTCTCAATACGGGACTTTGGAAGAAATGTGAATCACAAGCTAAGGCACAGAGTGCGCATGCAATCCTTAAGCATAGGTGATACAAACAAGCACTTAAAAAAGCACTTTGATTGCTACACATAAGAAATAAGACGATTTTGTCACTTTTTGTTTAATTTTTCATGAAGTCAAATTCTCATCAATATGAGTCATCAAGAGAACGACTCTTGTCCTTTATCTGATTTCCATATACAAAATACCACAAGTATAAATATCCTCTTTTAACTTATATTATGATGAACTGAATGTCATTTCATATGGAATAGGAGAAAGACATACAATTCCATGAAATAAAATTCAATTGTTTTTTTGGTGTATGGAGGCGTGAAAATGAGAATCAATAAGGTCATAGAGGCAAAGGGAAACCAACATAAAGTAGGGATATCAATATGGGACGTGGGAAAAAATGTGAATCATATTAATTTGAGAATTAAGTGGGCATGAGCAATCCTTACGTATGGCTAATACAAAGTGTGGGCTCTTACTTGTGCAAGATAGTAAGAATGATGAATGAATTGATGCGAATGATGTGAGGGTTGAGTGCATGGGGCAATCCTTACATATAGCTAGCTAATATAATAGACCATTTTTTCCAAATATACATGAATTTATGGCCCTAAGAAATGGTCCAATTTTGCCACTTTTTTTTTCTCATAATTTCTCGTGGAGTTAAATTCTCATAGGTGAGAATCAAAGGAATGACCCCTTCTCCTTTCATTTTCATATAACAAATAGCCAAATACTCTCATTAACTTTTATTATAATGGACTCTGAATGTCATTTGATAAGGAATAAGAGAAAGATGTAATGATTTTTTTTCCAAGAAATAAAACTTAATTGTGTGTCTGTGCACGGGGAAAATGAATAGTCAATGAGGGCATAGACACAAGTGAAAACCTCTATATGTAAGGGATATCAATGTAGATCTCAGAAGAAAGTGTGAATCACGACCCACGCCACAAAGTGTGTGCGCATGCACACATGCTAAATGGTATGGGTGGCAAATGGTTTGAAGAATGTGAGGGTATGAGTGGTAAATAATATGAAGTAATACAAATGATTAATTGTTTTCCCCAAAAGCCTTTTTAATGGGGACCCACACGAAATTAATTAGTCATTTTTATGATTTTTATTCAATTTTTTTGCATTCAAATTCTCATTAATACGATTCATGAGAATGATCCCCTATATCCTCTAATTTTCATATAAAGGACATCATGGACATATATACTCATTAACTTATTATTATGATAGAAACTGTATGTCATTATAGAAGAAACCTGAAAAAGATGCAATGATTTGTTTGGTCAGAAAATAAAACTCAATTGTTTGTTTCGTGTGTATTCGTAAAAGAATTTTTTATTTCAATTTGAGTGAAAATATTTATTTTTAAGTATTATTTATAATGTTTTCGAACCAGCTCAAGACAAACGCAACACCAACAATATAGAAAGAGTACCTATGTCAGACCTAGGAAAAAGTATAGATCACAAGGCAAAGAGTGATGAATGATGTGAGAGATTTGAGGGTTGAAACGAGTGATATGAGAGATTTGAGGGTTGAAATGAGTGATGTGAGACATGTGAGGGTTGAAACGAGTGATGTGAGAGCTATATATGTAAACTATAGTTTGAGTAGGAAACAATATTTTTCTTCATCAAAGCCCTAGCTTCTTCATATGCGTGTTTCTACAAAGCATTTTAAGCCTATATACACATAATAAAGCATAACCAATTGCCAATCATAGCAATAATAAGAACAATGCAAGATAATCGATAACAAGCATATGCACCAATATATATCTATGAGGAAAAATTGCCATATATTATCAATAAAAGCGATAATATAGAAACAACAATATGTCATAAGATAAAAATGAAGTCAGACATATGTCCAAATATTCTAATACCTTATGAGAACTTCCATTGTCTTCAAGTTTCAATTGTGGATCACAATTAGGAGTTGTTGGGTTAACAACATCATCTCTTCTAGGGTTGTCAGGAGTAATATCAGCTGCATGATTTACATTATTAGCTGCAATTATATTATGAACAAGCCAATATCAGAAGGACAGGATGACAAGGACACAATTTTTTTTTTTAAAACAATGAAGCGCAATTTCAAAGTTTAACAATTAACAAGCTAATGTAAAAGACTATGTAATCCCTTTAATGCGCTAAATGTATGAGATAAATAACTAATATGTAAAGACTAAACAAATTAGTGACGCTAATTATTTGTTATAATTGAGTTCTACATTAAAAAATTTCACAAGTGAAGTGAGATATATAAGTTTAAGAAACTCTCCCACCTAATCCACTAGTCTTTTAGGATGTGATTTCTCTTCGAACTTGTGTTCATATAAGAGAAATCCTGTGAAAAAGTTGAATCTAAAGTGAAAAAAAGAAAAGCAAAACATAATATCAATTCCCATTACAAGATGTTAAACAAAATGTTCATGAAGCTTCTAAATAAATTACAAGATAGGGTGATCAAATAATATGTATCTTACCTAATATGTCCACATCAGCTATAGTGCTCCCACGGTGCCTTCTTGAATTGTTCTTAGCCTAATAAATTGATAAATAAGAATCACATAAATAAGGTGAGCCCCAAAAATTTAAATATAGAATGACAATATCAAATAATATCTTCACCCATGCGTACATATGTATGATAGAGGAGAGTTATTATAAGGTCTTAAGGAAAGAATGTAACCACTAAAAAGTCACATAACAATTGAATATCATGCAATGATAAGTTTCTGTGCAAGAAATAACTTTTTGGTAATTACATTCTTTTCTTAAGGTGTCATGATAATTCTCCATATAAGGGGAGATATAACATAATACCTCAAGAAAATCGCTTTGCGTAGATAAAATAACATCATCGTCATCAAAAGCCTCCAAATCAATAGGTTGTGTAACCTGGTGGGTTTGAGGAACAGCTTGATGATCAACTTGAGTAATTTCCTCCATTTGCTCCAAATTGGCACCAGGTGGTGGAGTGATGTTAAGATCCAAGTCCAAATCATCATTTCGTAGGTGAATTATGCGGGCTTGCTCGCCAGTGGAATGAGTACTCATCTTGTGTACAATAAATCCAATGTCACATGAAAATTAAGATCACAATTCCAAGCGCAACAATAGGGATATGGATCAAGATGTTCATAATAACTTGAAGTCATCCTCTAGATTGCAGGGTGATTAATTTTGTGTTTCTGAGAAAAAATAAATTTACAGTTTATTCTTTATATATGCTAGAAGATAAAAATGATACTTTTAAGATGTATATACTGACGATTGGTAATAAGTGGAAAACAATTAAGTTTCGAATTCTTCAGATACCACAAGAAGAAGTCAAAATAGCCATAGGCTTGGATTCTAGCAAAATTAGCAATCTTGAATAATTAATTCTTGATTAAAACATGAGCTAAATTTCTATGTTATTTATTCTATTGATATGTGAGTGCACGCGCACATGTAAATAATACATTCGCGCACATTAATAATTAATAGTGAGCGTGAAACAATTTGAATTCTTTGCATATGCCATGATAACTGATAAGAAATCAAAATAGCTATAAACTTGGATTCCACAAGAATTAGCAGTCTTGAGACAAATCTTGATTAAAATGCACACTTAATGAATTAAATTTCTAGGTTATAAGCATTTTAAACAGACTCTACTCATAGTTTAAGTAAACTAACTTCATATTGCAAACTAGAATGGGAAAGAATGACATAATCATTGACATTATAAGGGAAAAAATTTGCTAGCCATCTTGAATCTCAAGAAGTAAGGGAGGAGGGATATATGTGTGCACAAATAATAATATATAATTTATTATATTAATATGTGTACATGCACATGCATGTGTAAGTAATATTTTCAGACATATTAATGATTGATAATAAGTATGAAATAATTCAAATTCTTTAAATATATATCACAGTAAGTAGTCATAGTGATAGTATATTGACCTGGATTCCAAAAGAATTAGCATTCTTTAAACAATTGTTCATTAAAATACAAACTCATTGAACTAAATTTATAGATTATAAGCATTTTAAACAAACTTTGCACAGTATAAATAAATAAATTCATATCACAAACTAAACTAGAATACTAGAGAATGACATAATCACTTAAACATAAAGCAAAAAGATTTGCCAACCATGTGGAGCTCAAGAAGTAATGAATTAATATGGGATGTGTATGTGTGTGTTTGTGTGCCCACGAGAACATGTAAATAATACTTTCATGTCTATTAATGACGAGTTATAAGATAATTTAAATTCTTTATAGATACCACAATGAGAAGTCAAAATAAAGACCTGGATTCCAATAAAGTTAGCAATCTTAAAACAATGCTTGATTAAAATATAAACTCAATAAACTAAATTTCTAGGTTACTAAATATTTTAGACAAACTCTATTCACAGTATAAATAAAAAGATTCATATCCCTGACTAGAATGCTAGAAAATGACACAATCACTAAATCATATAGGAAAAAGGTTTGCCAACAAGCAAGAGATTAGGGGATATATGTGTGCAAAGTAATAATTTATCATTTATTCTATTATTATGTGTGCTTATGTGTGCATGTAAATAATTCTTTTATGACTATTAATGATTAGTTATAAGTATAAAATAATTCAAATTCTTCGTATATACCACAATAAGAAGTTGAAATAGCCAAAGAGTTGGATTCCAGTAAAATTTGTAATCTTGAAACAGTGCTACTTGATTAAAATGCAAGTTCAATGAACTAAATTTCTAGGTTATTGGCATTTTAAACAAACCTACACAGCATAAATAAATAAATTCATATTACAAGCTTAGCTAGAATGCTAGAGAATGACATAACCATTGAATCCTAAGGGAACAAGGATTTGCCAAACATTAGGGGCGCAAGAAGTAATAGATTTTGGGATATATGTGTGCAAAGTAATAATTTGTCATTTATTCTATTGATATGTGCGCACGCACATGCACATGCAAATAACACTTGCCCCTATTAATGACCAGTTATAAATATGAAATAATTTGAATTCTTCACAGATATCACAATAAGAAGTCAAAATAGCAAAAGACTTAGATTCCCATAGAATTAGCAATCTTGAAATTAAACAATGCTTGATTAAAATACAAACTCAGTGAACTAAATTTTCAGGTCATAGACATTTTAACAAACTCTTCATAGTATAAATAAATAAATAAATTCATATTTTGAAAGAGAATGACATAATCACTAAATCATAAGGGAAAAAGATTTGCCAATCATTATGGACCTCAAGAGGTAATAGATTAATATGGGATATCTGTGTGCAAGATAATAATTTTTAATTTATTCTATTGGTATGTGTGCGAGCACGTGCGCATGTAAATAATACTTCGCGGCTATTAATGACCGGTTATAAATATGAAATAATTTGAATTCTTCATAGATACCACAATAAGAAGTCCAAATAGCAAAAGACTTGTATTCCAATAGAATTAGCAATTTTGAAATTAGACAATGCTTGATTAAAATACAAAATCAGTCAATTAAATTTTCAGGTTATAGACATTTTAAACAAACTCTTCACAATGTAAACAAATAAATAAATTCATATTTTGAAAGAGAATGACATAATCACTAAATCATAAGGGAAAAAGAATTTGCCAATCATTATGAACCTCAAGAGGTAATAGATTAATATGGGATATATGTGTACAAGATACTAATTTGTAATTTATTCTATTAATTTGTGCGTGCACGTGCACATGTAAATAATACGTTCGTGGCTATTAATGACCAGTTATAAATATGAAATAATTTGAATTCTTCACAGATACCACAATAAGAAGTCAAAATAGCGAAAGACTTTTATTCCAATAGAATTAGCAATTTTGAAATTAGACAATGCTTGATTAAAATACAAAATCAGTCAACTAAATTTTCAGGTTATAGACATTTTAAACAAACTCTTCACAATGTAAACAAATAAATAAATTCATATTTTGAAAGAGAATGACATAATCACTAAATCATAAGGGAAAAAGATTTTGCCAATCATTATGGACCTCAAGAGGTAATAGATTAATATGGGATGTATTTGTGCAAGATAATAATTTGTAATTTATTCTATTAGTATGTGCGCGCACGTGCACGTGTAAATACTACTTTCGCGGCTATTAATGACTAGTTATAAATATGAAATAATTTGAATTCTTCACAGATACCACAATAAGAAGTCAAAATAGCAAAAGACTTTTATTCCAATAGAATTAGCAATTTTGAAATTAGACAATGCTTGATTAAAATACAAACTCAGTGAACTAAATTTTCAAGTTATAGACATTTTAAACAAACTCTTCATAGTGTAAATAAATAAATAAATTCATATTTCGAAAGAGAATGACATAATCACTAAATCATAAGGGAACAAGATTTGCCAATCATTATGGACCTCAAGAGGTAATAGATTAATATAGGATATCTATGTGCACGATAATAGTTTGTAATTTATTCTATCAGTATTTGTGCACGCACGTGCGCATGTAAATAATACTTTCGCACCTATTAATGATCAGCTATGAGCACGAAATAATTCGAATTCTTCACACATTGCACTATATAAGAAGTCAAGATAGCTAAATACTTTGATTCCAGTAGAATTAGGAATCTTGAAATTAAACAATGCTTGATTAAAATACAAACTCAATGAACTGAATTTTCAGGTTATAGACATTTTAAAGAAACTTTGCACACTATAAATAAATAAATAAATTCATATTTTGAAAGAGAATGACATAATCACTGAATCATAAAGGAAAAAGATTTGCCCATCATTATGAACCACAAGAAGTGATAGATTAATATGGGATACTTGTGTGCAAAGTAATAATTTGTAATTTATTCTACCAGTACGTGTGCACGCACATGAGCATGTAAATAATACTTTTACGCCAATTAATGCTTAGTTATAAGTATGAAATAATTCTAATTCTTCACGTATACCACAATCCAAAGTCAAAATAGCCAAAGACTTGGGTTCCAGTAGAATTATAGCAATCTTGAAACAATGGTTGGTTGAAATACAACTCAATGAACTAAATTTCTCGGTTATTAAGAATTTTAAAGAAACTCCATTCACAGTATAAAGAAATAAATAAATTCATAATTTCACTGAACCATAAGGAAATTAAAACAATTGCCAATCATCGTAGCCCTCAAGAAGTAAGGGATGAAGGGCACGAAGCATTGCCAGGTTTTCAAAAGTTCCATACCAAAAGATAAATCCCAAGTTAATTTTCAAGTAAAAGATTTTATTACATGACAAATGGACAACTCCGATGTCTCGTTATTTGGATAGTTTCTTGTGAAATTCAAGCAGGAAACGAAGAAAAATTGCAACTTTAATTTCGGGCTGTTCAATTCTTTTGAATATTTTCGAATCAGCATAAAATCATCACAATTACAAGAATTTTAATAATGGCAAACTTAAGTGACAAAAATACTAAGTATAAGCACTACTGAATGCAAAACCCATTAGTCGCAAAAAAAGAACCCTAACCAAACCTTCAGAAACAGTAGCCAATCAAGCCAACCAATCCGCTTACCTTGATCAATTCAAGCCTGCATGCATGTGATCTTTGGCTAAAAGCGTTCATTTCAAGCACTTTAGACAATCAGATCGCAACGATCAAAATTGAAAACAGTAACAAAAAAAAACTAATAAATATGAACAAGCAAGCTTGGATCTACATGCCTCGGGGTTCAGAAATTGAGAAAGAAAACGAAATCACGATCTACATGCAATACTTGCGCTTCTGGGCACAGATCTACCAACAAAAAACGAAGATGTGAAATGGAAATTCAAACTCGTAGGAGGAAAACGAACCTTATCAGAACTTCGAGCTGCGAAATACCACGAAATATCAAAATTCACAACCACTAACATGAGAGAGGGAGAGAGAGTGAGAAGCAGAGCTTCGTTCGTAGTTGAAGGCCCTCTTAAATAAGGAGAATGAATGAGACAGTGTTGTGTAATAACGTTAATTTCTTTTCCTCTTTTTCTTTTGTTGAAAAAATTGAT